AGGCAGCCTGAAGGCTACACCCATGTCACTTGGTCTTACAAAGGGGGAGAACAAGCGGTGCTGAGTTAGTCACTCTCCTGTTGTGCTAAACACCATGACCCAAAGCAACTTCAAGAAGGAAGAATCTGCATCGGCTTATAGTTCCAGGGGAAGAGTCCATCGTGGTGGGGGAGGCATAGCAACAGAAGCAGGAAGCTGAACATCTCAACTGCACATGGAAAGCAGGGGATGGGGGCGAGGAGGTTGGGCTGTAATCTGGAAGCAGAGCTGTAACCTCTCAAAGCCGGATGCCAGTGACCTGTTTTCTCGGTCAAGGCTGCACCGCCTAAAGGATCATAACCCTACCACGAAGGAGCACCAGCATTGAGCCAAGGGTTCAAGTATGTGAGCCTCCATGAAACATTTTTCATTCAAATTGCCTCAAGTAGTAAATTGTTTGCAAGCCTCACTGAGCAGCACAGAGGCAGGGGAATTATGATTAAAGAGATTTTGAATCTTACAAGGTGAATGCAGCTCATGGGAGCCAAGAGGCAAGGGGATTGGGAATGCATATAATAAAATCATTTTGATGGCTCAGAAATAAAATGAGGAAGAGGGAAGAGAAGAGCCCATGTGGGATCTTACAGTTACTCTAGCTTTCAGGTGAGGGAGGTGATACACAGAGAAAGAAAGTGTGTTCTGAAGTTCGAAACCAGAATCCAAATCTTAGGCACTGGTGTTCAACATGTATGTTTTTTACCTCAGTGTGGCAGAGATACAGGATCAGAAGCTGTGAGGGAGACAATGATTGACAAGGCAGAAGGACAGAGGCAGGAAGGACAGACATTGGAAAGAGTTACAAGACTACCCCGCACTAAGTTCCCATGTATCTGTAAGTCACTCATCCTAATTCCTTACCATATCCCAGGACACCCTGTGTGGCTTTTTTCCTTCACCTACATCTCATCCTCCTTGTTTTTTCTCTTAAGAATATCTAGCATTTCACTATCCAAATAATTCTTCTGTTTTCATCTTTCATTATGTGCCCATAACTATTTTTCCATGTCTGCTGTTACTATTCCTAATTTCAAGACAGGGCATTTCCAAGACATGCTTGGAATCCTGGTTTGACTTTCCAATTCAGATCTCCAATGTTAGTTAGATTCCATTCTCTTTCAAGTTCTTCCTCTTAGAAACAGTCTTCTCCTTTTCAGACTGGGCTAATTGGAGGGGAGATGTGCATTGACCCAGGGAAGTTCAGGACTCCTGGGAGGGTTGACCGCTCTTCTGTAGAATGCTTTCCATCAGCGATCACAAGATCAATGACCACTTACATGCCTTCTACACTGTTTTATCTTTTTCCATTTTTTGATATTTCGTGTGTCCATGTATGTGTCTATGCCTATGGGTGAGTTTGTAGCCAATCGTGGGTTTCTTCAACGAACTGAAGAAAACATGGTCTTCTTTTTCAGAGAATACAGGAGTTGTGTGGAGTGGGGGAAGGGAGTGGTGTGATCTTCTCACTTCTCACTGGTCACTTAGGGGCTTCCCCTTCCTCAGCTTCAGTGCCTAAGTTACAAAGTGAAGACTTTTTATAGTTCTTTCTTTTTAAGCTTTTTGTAAACTGTAAAACACATTTTCATAGAATAGATTTTGATCATGTTTTTCTCCTACCCAATTCCTTCCAGATCCTCCCCACCTCTTTATCCACGTAACTTTGTTTTTTCTCATTCTCTCTAAAGCAAGCAAACGAAACAAAACCAAGAAACATACACATATAAATTTCCCTACAAATTCATAAAAATAAAAATAAATAAACAAAATATTGATATGACAAAAAATTACTCTAACAAAGCAAAATGAGTCAAACGGTCTACAAAACACAACACTGAGTTTGTTTCGTGTTGGCCAACTACTCCCGGGCGTGGGGCTTGCCCTGGAGTGGGGCTAATATACCCAGTAAGACTACGCAGGAGAACACTGACTTTCTCTTTTCCATTGAGTCTCAACTACAGATAATTTCTTCATTCTGGATGGGAGTCTGTGTCCGCTGTGCCTCTCAGTGCTGAGATTCCTTCTGGCTTGAGCCTGGCCAGGTCTTGATTGTGCTGCCTCGGTCTCTGTCTCTGTGAGTTCACATGAACATCAGTCTTGCTGTGTCTACACACCGTCTCCTTGGAGTTGTCCATCCCCTCTGGCTCTCACAATCTTTCTTTCCACTTTCTCTTTTGCACAGGTCCCTGAGCCTTGAGGGCAGGAGGTTTGATGAAGACATTCCATTTAGGATGGAGTGTGGAATTGATATTGTTAATTGCCTCTATATTGTGGGTTTTTAGATATTTTCTCCAATATATTGCTTTATCATTTCTGAACTTTACACAACTTCTACAAAGAGTATGTTGGGGTTTTATTTGATTGTTTGACTTTATTTACTTATTTGAGACAAAACTCTTACTATGAACCTGGCACTAGAGAAATTTCCAGGAATCCACAAGGATGATCTCAGCTAAGGCCCTAAGTAATAGAGGAGAGGGTGCCCGAATTGGCCTTGCCCCGTAGTCGGATTGATAAATATCTTAAATGTTACCATAGAAGTTTCATCCAGCAACTGATGGAGATAGGGGCAGAGACCCACATCGGAGCACTGGTCTGAACCCCCAAAGTTCAGTTGAAGTGTGGGAGGAGGGAGAATATGAGCAAAGAGGTCAAGACCATGATGGGGACACCCACTGAAACAGATTACCTGAGCTAATGGGAGCTCACCAAGTCTGACTGGACAGGGAAGGAACCAGCATAGGACCAAGCTAGACCCTCTGAATGTGGGTGACAGTTGTATGGCTGGGGCACACACTGGTAGTTGTGCCAGGATTTATCCCTACTGTTTGAAGTGGCTTTTTGGAACCCATTCTCTTTGAATGGATACCTTGCTCAGTCTGGATATAGTGGGGAAGGGCCTTGGTCCTTCCTCAGAGCAATGTTGCCTTGCTCTCTCTGGGGAGGAGATAGGGGGTGGGGTGGGGTGGCGGGCAAGGTGGAGGGCATGGGAGGAGGGGAGGGAGTGGGAGCTGGGATTAGTGTGTAAAATTTTAAAAAAAGATAGTTTGTTTTCTTTTTTTAATCCAATCAAATAAAAATAAGTAAATATTTAAAAAATTTCACTATGTAGTTCTGGGATGGAACTCATTTTCTAGACCAAGCTAGCCTGAGACTCATACTGCTCCCAGCTCTAGCTCTTGATCACTAAGTTACAGGTGAGCATCACTATGCCCATCTGAAAAACCTTTATTAACATTAACATATGAACATATCAACTAACCTTAAAACACTAAGATGAGGGTATTATGACACATGACCTCTAACCTCATTCTAACTCAGTGGCAAAATTTAAAGGGATAATAGAGATGGAGGAAATAGATTTTACAGCAGCCAGGCATGGTCAATCTCAGCACTCAGGGAACAGAGGCAGGTGACACTCTGAGTTCAAGGCCAGCCTGGTCTACGTAGTGAGTTTCAGGATCCCGAGGGCTACATTATTTAAAAACAAAAACCAAAACAAAAAATAAACAACAACAAAAAAACCAAATCAAAAACAAATCCAAAGTGGGGGCAGAAGTGACATGGATAACATATAATTGATATTTATATCTTTGAAATAATTTCAATCAGAGATCCTAGAAATGGGGCAGGGGACGCTAGGTAAAAAGTGAATGGACTGCAGCATAGATTGGAGATGAATGGAGAAAAAAGTTAGTATGGTTAGTTTGTGGTCAAACAGAGTCTGGAACCAGAGGAGGTGAGCCTATCCGGGCTGACCTGTGTCTGATGGGTCCCCAGAGTGACCCTCTGGGAAAAACCTCTACCTACTGTCACATGTGACTAACATACACGTGATGGAGACGTATCAATATGTCATCCATGACTACACAGTGGTGCGTGCTTCTATCTGACTTACCTGCAGAAAGCCATCTGTGACCCACCGAGCAAGCAGCTCCTCCTTGGAGCACCAGCAAAAAAAGCTAGAGCCACGGCTGCGTCACGGCTGTGTCACAGCTCCCATGTGTGTCCCTTGCATTTTCACTTCTTAATGAAGTACTTGCTATTTTTGATAATTTGCATGTCATTCCTCACTTCTTCAAACAAGATGCCCAGGACCCAAGACAAACCTGACTCGAAAAACAGACCAAGCCAATGAGAGAGAGGAAAAGACAAAATATAAGAAAATACTCTAGCATGGAGTTCTTAGACTAAAAGGGCAGGCACACATGCATATGCATGCATGTGTACACACACACACACACACACACACACACATCCATGCTAGGCATATTTTAGTAAAATCTTGGGAATGAGGAAGAAAGCAATTTAAACGAGTCTGGAAAGAAAACTTCTGGAAGACTGTAATAAGTCCCAGGCTTCTGTTGGTGAGTCATGAAGACCAAAGACAATGGAGTAAAAGCTACCATTGTGAACTAACCCACAGGGTCACTGAAACGTAAGGTCAAAACCTGTGCATTGCAGACACGTGTGGTCTGTACAGCAGTGCTAATTACCAGAGCTTCAGAAGCTGCCAAAAGGAAATGGGAACAAAAGAGAAAGTCATCAGAGAAGATTTCCTGCGTAAAAAACAAAGGTTATGATGAAATCTAGAACAATGGTTGGTAGATCTGAGACCCAAATGACCCTTCTGAAGAACATGGGCAGCCCAGGACTGACCTTCTTGTTATTGAGAATGGGGAAAATACTCGAGAAACCTGAAGCTGGGTCCGGCGAGATGGCTCAGTGAGTAAGGGTTTTGCTGTCAAGCTTGGTGACCCAGTTTCAATCCCTGGGCCCACGTGATCCCCAAAACTTGTCCTCTGACCTCCACACGTGCATTGTGGCATATGTCCCCACCCCATGCATGCACAAATCAATTCACAGAAAAACCCCTGGACCTGCAGGAAGCAGATACGGATATGTACCTTTTGTTTTGTCTCTCCAGTGGTTCCTCAATCACTTGAACTTTTCCTCATGTCTTTCAGAAAACACACCCTAGTTTGCTCGTCAGGAATTGTTTGGTATTACATTTGCAAAGCTTGCCGTTTGTTATTGACAATTTGTTCAAAGAAGCTTGACAAAGCAAAAGCACTGCGGGCCAAAGGGCTAAGACGGGTCAGTCTTAGAGTGGGTAAGTATTCTTGTCCCCCTCTCTGCAGAGACAAAATAAAAGCCAGGCTGGACTCAGAGCAGGGCACATGCCAGTGAGTTTAGAGGAAACTTTGTTTGGGGAAGTTACCCTTGGAGATGGGAAAGACCTGAGAGAAGAGGACAGTAACCTCAGGGGACATTGTGAGAGGAACAGAACAGTTGAGGTGGCCTCCGAGTGCCCACGCAGCCTGGATTCCCTGATCTGTGGCTGTGAGATCAGTGTAATGGCCTCCACCTGTGTTAGCTAGACTGGAATCATTTTTAACCACTAAAAATGCACTTTTAAAATTTCAACTCAATTATGACTTGAAGTTTGAAAATGTACAGATTACTTAAAACTTTTGTGTGCTCTTAGTCACCTGAAGTAGTACTGAATATTCTGTTTTAGGAGACTATGGTTCAAGGTACTTATTTCAGTTACTGATTTCTTTTGCTCAACATGCTAGGCCTTCAGAAGTCACACTAATGTTCAAAGTAATAAAGTTTAATTTCAGGGTTTACAAAATAGTTCAGTGCACGATTGGGGCCACAGCCGTGTTAACTGTGTTTGCAGTGTGGGAAGAAATCTGCAAAACATGCATACACAGAAAAGACTCCTGCAAAAGGGAACCACGTACATCTTAGCTGAAACCTAAATTGCTGGGTAACTTGTATTTCAATATTTTAGAGACCAGCTTTCTCTACACAGCCTTGGCTGATCCCAAACTCACAATGTAGTCCAGTCTGGCCTTAAGCTGACAGCAACCTCCTGCCTAAGGCTTCTGGATGCTGAGAGTCAAGTTCGTCCACCTCTGGGTGACCAACCCCTCGATTGCATTCTCATCCCGCTCACTGACCATCTAATCTAGAGAAAGAAAGGCCTTTCGACACCCAGGCTCCAGCCCAGATTACTCAACAGAGAATCTCTGGGGATAGGACCCATGCATCACATTTTGAAACCGTCAATGATTCCAGTGTGTAGTGGACTCCGTCAAGCAGGAGAGCGGATGGGAGCTCACGAGAGAAGGCTGCCTTACAGCAGGGCTTAGGTGACAACAGCAGACTCAGCTCCTGCAGCATCCTTTAGCTCATAGCAATTGCGATGGGCTGATTCTGCGGGAACCAATCTCAGAAAGGCAAATGAAATCGTATGGCTTCCTTTCACAGCGTACCACATGGAGCCCGGCGTGAATACAAAGTTCTCCTCCCAAGGTTCTCTCCCTGCTCTGCCGACAGAAGGTGCGGCTCATTGCTTTCTCCATCCATTGTCTCCGAGAAGCCTTCTGGGACGACATTTAGGTGCAGCTCCCTGCTGTGTTCCCTCGCATGGCTGTCCTTCCTCCATGCAGCCGCCTTCACCCTGTAATATAAGTCCATTCCCTTTGTGTTCATTTCTCTAAATGGACCGCAACAAACTAGAGGACACGTGCCTGGTTTCACTCAAGACTACCCCGGTGCCAGTGCAGAAAGATAAACACTTACCAAACAGCTGGATGAGTCAGGGGATGACTCACCTAAGGCCCTGTCTAGTGCCGCCTCTGCTGCTGTAAGAAGACACTGACCAAGAACAAATTATGGGAGAAAAGGGGTTTATTTGCCTTATACTTTCAGTTCGTAGTCCATCACTGAGGGTAGTCTGGCCCGGAATTCAAGCAGAAACTTGAAACAGAAGCCATAGGGGAACACTGTTGGCTTCCTCTCTCACAGGGTTCTTGATAGCTTGCTTCTCTATACAGTCCAGGACCTCTTACGTAGGAAATTGTGCTGCCCATGGTGGGCAGGGCCCTCTTAGGTGAATTAACAGTTTCCTGCCATCATGCCCATGGGCCATCCTGGTCTAGGCAGTTCCTCAGGTAAGGTTTCTCCTCTCGGTTGTCTCTGGGTTGAGTTCCGCTGTAGGGCTAAGCAGGACAGATGCCGTCATCCCAGCCAAACAGATCTGGAGCCGGAGTAAAAGTCAGAAGGACAGCTTGTTAGAATATGCATTCTTCAGCTTCAGCTCTGGGTATTTTAACTCAGTATGACAAGGTGAGGCATTTACAAGCTGCATTATTGAAACCTTCTCAAACTGAGACCCATTTATTTTTTTTCTGGGCCTCGAGAATGCCTGTCCTTTTGCCCTCTCCCTGGGATTAGTCTAGAACAACAGAACAGGCCACTGGGCCTCTTTACGGTCTTCCTCTCCAGGAAGGCTGAGAAGGCCAGCTTCCTCACAGGGTCCCATACCTGCCTAAGGAGAGCCTTTATAACCTAAACCCCTTGGAGGGTATGCTCAGCGCAAAGAGTGGCAAGCAAACGTGCAAGCCAGCTTTTCAGCACCTTTTCATTCCTGCTAGCTTCTAGATCAGGAGGATTTGAGGAAACAGAGCCACCTTTTGCTGCTGGGGCCTGTCAACTCATTACTTTGCTACGTGGGTGACAACCCTAGTAAAAACAGTCTGCCTTTTAGCTTCAATTTTGTTTTTACCCTAAACGAATATTGGTGCTGTGTTTACCTCTAATTAATATTCATCACGGTAAAGGAATTATACTCATTCACACATAATTATATCCTCCTCCATCAACAGGCTTTTAATCGCAGACCTTCCAGGGTGGGGAGAACCAGCTCTCTGCCCCCAGCCTTGTGTGGTGCCAGGAAAAGCCGCCTCTGCTCTCCATCAAGAGCATCCAATGCTGCTGGTGTGCAGGGAGCTGCAGGTGATGCTGGGCATAGAGGAAGCTTGGGGTAGAGGCAGGTCTGCTCAATTCCAGCTCCCGCTCTGGGCTAATGCTTTGCCCTCCAGTGCCTCAACCTTTGAATCTGGAAATGGAAATTGATGGCTTCCATCCAGGCCTGCACATTGGGAACATCCAGAGGAATTATTTTAAATAATTCCAAACCCAGATTGTATTAGAGACCGTCCAGTGAAATCTCTACGGCCGGGGCTCAGCATTAAAAATGATTATCCCTCGCAAAGACCATTCGGCTCCAGGTTTAGGTGGCATTTGCAAAGCAGAGATGGATGAGGCTGCCCAGAACTCACCCAGGGAACAATGTGAGCTCCATATCTTGACACTGATGAGGTGAAGGTTAGAGACTGACAGTCAAGGGCAGTTGAGTGCCCAGGTGTATGATGTTGGAGATGAGAGCCCTAGGTTGAGGATGCAGGATCAGTGGTAGGATGCAGGGTCAGTGCTAGAGGCTTTGGTGAGCCTTGTCTTGAAAACAGAGATAAATGTGTCTAGGTGCTGGGTGAGCATCCGTGTACTGCAGAGCGGCGAGATGGCAAGGCTTGGACATCGATTTCAATGGCTCTCTGTGGCTGCACAAGTCTAATTTCCCGGAGGATTTATTCCCGAATGTCTAGGGTGGATCCTGAGCACTTTTGTGAAACCTCACGAGTGAGTCTCACGTGTGCTTCTGGTTGAGATTCGCTGTCTAAGCTGACCTTGGCTGTCAGATGAGTTACTTCTCCAAGGTCAGAGACATACTAGTGACAGCAAGGATACTAGAACTATGTGTTATTCACGTGTGGTCCGGTATACCCAAGTGTTCATGTTAGGAAATAGCACTAATGATCACGGTCACTCATTAAGCTCCCTCACCATTTGCAAGTCCCTTCCAGGCATCTGACATCATCTCATCCTCACGACCAGGGAGAAGCGATGGGAGCCTGTGCACAACGAAATGATGTGCAAGCCCAAGATTGTTTGTCTGAGCTGGCGCAGGAAGTTATCCCTCATTCCCAGTCCTTTCTCCCTGCTCTAAGTACCAGAGTAGAAAGCTGGTACCCAGACTTTTTCTCCCAGGAGGCAAGACCTGACCTTTGTCAACCTGGATGGTCTAATGGCCTGCAGTCCATTTCCTGTGCGTGTCACCCTAATGGAGTACAGCAATAAGGCTAACGGAGACCCCAGTAATTAGCAGCCCAGAGGCATGAACGAGACTTGGAAAACTGCCCTGCTGGCTACTGTGCATTTGGCACCCCGAGGGCTCCAGAAACCAGATCCAGAGTGCCAAACACATCAAACTCAAGTGTCACCGAGGTCTGAGCTCAGCTGCTCCCTTAGCATTTGCAAAAGGTCCTGCCCACTCTCTTCCTTCGCTCTCTCCCTTGGCCATTTCCAGGAGCAGATGAGCTGAGGTTACATGCAGCTGATCCCAGCTATGGTTAATTATCTTGGCCTGTAATTAGCACTTCCCTTGCTTCTGTCATTGCCAGCTCCCACAGTCAATGCAGCAATTCTCCTGGAGGAGAACTACTTGGAAAGGGCTCCAAAGAGGCCCTGAAATAAAAGTTTCTAGAAGTGACAACAGTTTGGAGAGGCTTGTCCTCTCGTCATCCCGGTCCAAAGTCTGGCTCTCCGTCTCAGACTGGATTTCTGTCTAAGTCATCCTTCCTTCCTGGGCAATTCCTAAAGATACCCATTTCCCATCTTTGTGTTCTCTGATGTTCTCAGTCCTCATTGGCTCTCATGTGGACTTCTACAGAATTTCTCTAATGGACCTCCCCTAACTGGTCCTGCGGGTGTCTCCTCTGTAGTATAAGCAGAATAATCTTTCTCTGCAATCTGTACTGCCTCTCTGCTACTCAAACGCTAGCCATCTTAGTTTGGTAGGCAGCATCCTGCTTGTTTTCCAATGCTTCTTTTGCCTAGTTTTTAATACTATGCTAATCCCACGATGCGGTCACCCTCTCTCACATGCGCATTCTGACACATCCATGCATGTGCGCACCCACAGGACTCAATGCCTGGACATACATCTCTCTATGCTGCCCCATCATTATGAGAAGTGTAGGAAGGACAGCTGACTGCCTTAGACAAGTGCCCTAAGACCCATCACAAGGAAAGACACTTGCTCTACGTATTGTTGAAATAGGAGCGGCGGGGCTGCGTCCCCGGCACCCGGCCGCCCACATGGCTAGCTTATGCCCGAAATAACAACACACAAACTGTATTCATTTAAACACTGCCTGACCCATTAGTTCCAGCCTCTTATTGGCTAGCTCTTACATATTGTTCTAACCCATTTTTAATATTCTGTGTAGCCCACGAGCTGGCTTACCAGGGAGGATCTTAACCTGCGTCTGTCTGGAGTGGGAGAACCATGGCAACTCCTCCATTAAGCTTCTTTCTCCCAGAATTCTGTTCTGTTTACTCCACCCACCTAAGGGTTGGCCTATCAAGGGGCTTAGGCAGTTTCTTTATTAGTAAGAAATCACTCCCGCATCA